AACAAGAACAACAAGAACAACAATAATAATGGGAAGCAATATTATACTGCAAAAGTAAAATTTCAACGTGAATGTAATCGCTTCAACACCTCTCTCTATTTAAATTAATTTGCTTAGTTTTGTTTTTTGTTTTTTCCTTTTTTGCAGCAATCAAGTTTACAAAGCGATATCGAAGGTCTAAACTCCCGCTTGGAAGAAGAAACTACACGCACAGCAAATCTTCAAGGCGAGATAACCGTGGCGAAATGTAAACTTCAAGAAGATATGTTTAGAACAAGAAGCACGCTGTTAATTGACATCATCTCCATGCAACTTTTTTACGCGCTCAAAGATATTTCTCTCGATGATGCTGTAATCCTCCCTGAAAGCGAACTTAAGCAAAAAGATGGTTTTACTCAATGGACTGTAACTAAAAGCAAGCTTCTGGAAAACACCGATCTTCTTTTGGAATTGTTCCAAAGCTATCTAAATGTGCTGAATTCCAAAGGAGAAAAATTGTTGGACAATTGCGGGAGTCTTAGAAGTTTGATTGGAGCAGAAGAGTTATTGGACGAGAGAACACTGCTGCGCGACACGGAAGACGTAACGTTGTACTTGACAAATAAAACGGACGATGACAAGGTGGTTGCGTCGTCACGCTGTAACGAAAACCTACTGGAGTCACACAACAAGGAACTTACTGAGGAAAAAGTTCCTGAGGACGAGGAGCATTCCTGTTTAAGGGACAAACTAGTTTCACTCAAACGCTGTGTCGAAGGCGATGCTTTGAGTTTCCTCAAGAAAGCATTTAAACTTGATCTAGAAAACGAAGGAAAAACCACAGACTCCAGGCAAGATATCTACAAAAGAATACAGGAATTTATGGACCAAACGAATTCTGTTCTGGGTTAGTGAGTAAAATTCGTAGCTTTTTCATCTGTCATCACGCTTGATGATTTTCTTTCTTCTGCTCACATACCTAATTTTACCTGTTTCGCGTAAGGGAAATTTAGATCCTAATTGGAACTCAGTTAAATTAAATTCACCAGAATTGAAATCCCATAGTTAGTAACGATAGTAAGTATTTGCACGAATTGCGGACCTATATGGCTTGCAGAAAAGAGAGGGTTTTGCACTAAGTCATTGCAAACAAAGAGGGTTTTTTTATTTAAACATATTTCTTATTGTTTTCCCCAAAAGACATTTGATATGAGTAAAAGTACATGTTGTGCCAAAAAAATAAGCCAAACTAAGACTTGAGTTTCCGGTGTACAAGCGTAATATATACAAGCATAACGAAAATTTAGAATTATCCCTGATGTGTTCTGTAGTTTCCTCATTTTTATGCTCGTATATATTACGCCATTTTTGTCTGTCTTTAGATTCTCAGAAAAGTCAAGAACTGTCACACGTAGCTGACGCACTCACCCTTCTCGACCACTGCCACAGTCACGTGATCATAGATAAGGCACTGCAGAGCGCACTGTTGGTTTTGGAAAACAACAACATTACCCGGCGTTGCCATGACATCCAAAAACAGAAAAATGTCTTGGAGGACGAGAACGAAACGCTGCGAAAACAAATTCAGAGTTTACAGCAGGAGGCTGAAAAGTTAAACGGGAAACTTAACGAGACCTCCACCACACTGTGTGTTGTGAAGAAAAGCAAAGAACAGCTAGAAGATGATCTATCGTCCGTGTTTCAACTTCACAACATGAGAAATAGTGAAAAAAATGTTGAGAAAGAGGGTGGCGGGCTTGACAACAGCACATTTGAAGGAAAACTGCAGGCGGATATTGCAACGTTGGTGGAAAACAACGCTAAATTGCAAGAGACATTGGAAGCGACAGAACAATACAAGGAAAACTTGAAATCTGAGCTAACGTCTGTTAAGGTCAGTTGTGAGGCATTTATTGGTCACCTTGTCACGTGATAGTTTAACTTGCAAAGCATTATTACACGCGCCTATGTTCTAGTGACCAGCGGTTGTGGAAATCACAGGGTTTCGCATTTATGAAATGATAACAATTAGATACAACGCCACGCAATTCTCCGGTTATAATCAGTTTGGTCTGAATACGTTTAAATGGTGAGATGAAATTAAGAACCAATAATTTATGGTAAAGAATTAGCACATGTCAAAGAGTAACCTAAAAATATTGGAAAAGGGCGTCACAGGCAGTATTTTTTCTGCCCTGAAAAATTGGTGTTTAAGAGTTATTTGGAGGACACTTCATATCAATAGCAAATAGGAAGGTCGAGTAACTGATCTGTAGATAGTGATAGAAACATTCAATACAGATAGCATAGGTGACTTTTATTAGCTGACAAAAGGAACTGAAGCGAAAGCCTTAACAAACCAATCCACAAACTATCAGACGTCACAAGACGACGCGTACAGGACACTTCGTGTACACTAACACGACACTCCTCGCTAAAATAGCAGACCATCGATTGAACGACGAACAAGGAAAAAGACCCGAAACATGACGCAGCAAGCTACTGTGCAACGTTAAGACTACACAAAGGTGACGCTTTTTAACCGTAAAGTAAAGAAGTCACGCGATAGTGAGCGGTTGTGATGAAAAGCTTTAAGACCAACCCAGTATTATCAATTTATCAGGGTTCACCGAGGAGCTTGTGGGATAGAATGACATTAAAGACCCGCAAACCTTGAAGGATTTACTTTGTAGACAGAACAAAATATGCATTGCGGACCTACATGTTCGGCAAGACTCCGGAAGACCTCTTCTTGTTCACATCAGTACCTTCTTTTGCAAAATTAACGTTTGCACACCTCTTGTTGCACTGGAAGGTCATACTCTCGAAGGCTCGTTCTTTCACGCAGTGCACAAACTTTTCGTGGCAAAATGTGTTCTTTATTATCACAAGATGGCGTATCTTCAGTTCTAAGGACCTCGAATCTCGGTCTAGAAGTGGTAGCCTGCTTTTGTCTTCAAGCTAAACAGAGCCTGCAGTTCTCAGCGAAAATGTTGCTTGGTAACATTACCTATCAAGATGACATCAATCTGACCTGACAACTTCGGAATGCTCGTGATTGGACGATAAGATGTCGGAAGTTCTTCGGACCGTTTTGTCCTGCGAACGATTTCGGGTTGGTGAAAACAATCCCTGAAATCTTGTGATAGAAAAGAAGGCGATTGACTGATACACACAGCAGGCAAGTAACTGAAATTCAAAGACAAAGATTCAAAGCAAGAGCAAACTCTTGTCCAGGAATCATGCTTGAGAGACGACAGACATTAACTAAAGATGAGGTTTTACGTGGTACAAAAGACGCCCAGCTATGGATGCCGACTATTCCTCCATAAGAACTTGTACACCAAACTTGCAATGTGGGTCTGGAGATCATTCCTGTTAAGAGACTTCAAGCTAACAGCGCCGTTATGAAAGTGAGAAAGAATAGTTTGACGCAAGATATTAACGAAGCAATCAAACAATGGAAGAGCAAAATAAGCTCGAAAATTCCGGTGAATCATGAGGATATACGTCGTCTTAGAGTCTAAATTGCATCCATATTTTTCTTTCCCCTAAAATTAAACGTTTTTATTAAATTACGGAATAAAAAAAGTATCTCGTACAGTTTGACTAATAGTAACCAGAGTATAAATTTCGCCAACCTTTATATTAATTTGAAGTAACTTTGAGTGTGATCTTTGATGGGCAGATTCTTGTTTTATTACGTTAATTAGCCAGCATTGTATTTCAATTAATGTTCAGCAGTCATTTATCTGAGACAATTATTTTATTCGTTGGCGGTAAATCTCGCTCCTCAAAGCGAATTAAAACCCAGAAAAAATACAATAATGTAAATAAATTGTAGATTTTAAAAGAGTTATGTAACTGTTCTCAGTAATACAATCACATGGCTGTTTTATTTCAAAGGGTACAAATAAAAGAGTTTTAATTGCTGTAGCGAGTTGCTATTTGTACGTTGTATAGACAGAAAACTCCAATAACGCAGGCCCTTAGAATAGTTCTTCTGATAGTTTTGAGTAATATGGTTAGTAGATTTAAGCGTAACTTGCCTTCAACTATAACGGTAGAGTGCGGTACCTTGGCTTGACAAAACTGAGCTTTCCTAGAAAAATATCTTTTAAAAATTAGATTCCACAACAATATAACTTAATTGGCCGCAATCGAATTACGCTATCGGCTGAGTAGTCGAAAACACTATTTTATAAATTATTGAAATTTATAGGGTTGACGCGAACATAAAACACGTCGGAAAAAATAAAATCTTTTCGAAGCTTAGCTGCTCAAGAGGTGGTCACTTGGTTAAACAGCGTGAGATGACCAGGAGATACTAGTCTATTCTCGGTGTCACTTCCGCACATTGTTATCAAGTTTCTCTGACAAATTAAATCACCAGGACCTATATTCCTGGTTTGAAAGAGGCACTGTGAAACTATAATCAACTTCCTCTGTCCATGTCTCTCCTTCCAGTGTTGAACACACAAATTCTGTGTAGCTGAGGGGCGCGTCAAGAGGGAGGAGATGGGTGAGGCAGAGAGGCGGTGAAAGGGGGGGGGGGGGTAAAAGTAGGAGGGACGTAGGGAAGAAACGAACTACGTGTAAACCGATTAGTTGTACCTTGCACCTTGCAACATCAAGATTAATTCGACTTCACTTTGCGAGTAATTAATACCAGACTTTTTCTCCGAAGAAACAAAATGGAGTTGACTTTATTTTAGGAGCTAGACTACTTACTTTATTGGTGTAACAATGAATAACGTGAATGATATACTGTAGCAAAGAGTGTGACGACTGCCACAAACCTGATATATCACTAATCACAATGCACTGAAATACATCGCGCGCAATGAACCAATCAAAACACGACAAAAACGTGCAAACGTTGAGAAGCTGGGAAAACAAAGTCAATCCTTCAGATTGGTTAAAAACAGCATATAGTTGTTCTGATTGGTTGGCGAGTGTTCCGTCAGTTTCTTAACCAGTTAGAGAGCTTATTTATGAATCAAAGAAAATACATGATCAGTCAAACCAAAGCATACTCGCTTCGTGTATTGCTGGTAGGTGTAGAACATATCTAATATTGATTCGGGGAAAGCAGAGGTACGTATCCGTTTACCACACCTATGAGATAATTTTCGCATAGGATAAAAGGCAGTTTCTGGCGAGATTTACGGCGTATCGTGATAGCACCTTTTGGTGAGGTTGCACGCCACATATTTCTCTGAAATGCACTCTACCAGGTTCTGAGACCGTAAAAAAATTGCGCCGTGGTCTCACTTGATCGCCCCGCCGCCCTCCCCAACACTCCCCTCTTGTTTACCTTTAGCTGCCTTTGTGTTGCAGTTCACGCGCAAACCAGGCCTCCCCTGGTTCTAAGTAGTTAAAGGGGCCTGGATGAAGCTGGTAGCCAAGCAGCGTTAACGAATTTATTCTTGACGTCGTAAGTATGTATGTTTTTGTTTGTTCTCTTTGCAGCGAGAACTACAGAGAAAAAAAGAAGCAAATTTACGATTCGAACAGCATACCAAAAGTACACAAACAGAAAAGATAGAGCGAGATGAATCCGCGACTCCGTCTCTTGGTGATCATGCAGTAAAATCTCAAGACCGTGCAATCCTTCAGGGGATTTTGACCTCTTTGCACGGTGATTCTTCCTCTTCTCTGGAGAAAGCTGCCTTTGCAGCGCAAACAAACGATCTGGACGACATCTCTTCCTTGAGAGCGGTCATCAACCAGCGTCTTGGAGAGGAGTGGTCTCTTGTAATCCTTGAAAACGCCAAAATGAAGTCAGAACTGGACAACATTCGAGGAAGGATAAACGAAGAAAAGCGAAGCTTTGAAAGCGAGTTGACAAAGTCGAAGCTCAAAGAGGAGAAAGGAGGGGAAGCCATGTTTCAAGAGGAGGAAGTGCCAAATCACGCGAGAGATCAGAAAGTCTTGGAAATAATGATTTATGATCAAAACAAAGTCATCGCTAAGCTAGAGATGGATAAACTGGAGCTGGTGAAGGGATTACAGCGATACAAAACGCCACCTAACCAACCTCAAGTTGATGTAGATGTTAGGTTGGAGCAAACATGCGAGCTGCAACAAGAAGATTTACCAACCAAAGACGATTTGGAAACAATTGTCAGAGAAAAGTTGCATGAACTATCTAAAGTTCACCAAGAAAACGAAAGCTTAAAGAGTGAATTGGATTCGTTGAGAAGCAAGTACAATTCTCTTGAGAAAGAAAACAGAAACTCCAACAGGTCAGGAGAGATGCTTGAGCAAAGGTTGGAAAACTCTCTCAGTGAGATGGAAACGAATCTTTCGACAAGTGTTACGCCACAAATGAATGAAAAGTGTACTGAATTAGAGGATAAATTAGCCGTTTCTACCAAGGAAAACAATGAATTTAAAGAAAAGCTAACAGAATTGGAACAGAAGCTATGCACAATTCAGCAGGACAGAGATGCGATTAAAGAACGGAACATTGCTTTGGAAAAAAGTATGCGCGAACAGCAAGACAACATTGAGAGCGCGCTGGCTTTGGAGAGAGAACAAAAGACGACTTTCGAACAACAATTGCAAGCGAAAACGCGAGAGTGTGAGGAAGGAAAAACTTTGCTGAAGCTTAAAGAAAACTGTTTGAGTAAAGTGGAGGCGGCGCTGGCAGAAACCAAGGAAAGTTATGAAAAGCTGATGCAGGAACGTTTTAACGAATACGAATTAGAAAAAGACAACATGATAAAAGAGATCAATGGTTTGAGATGTTTACAAGGGTTACCAACTCTGAAACTTGCTTCAAATAGAGAAAGTGTAACGGCAAGGCAAGAAGAGAAGGGTGGCTTGGTAAGTGCAGAAAAACGCACACAAAACAGGAAAAACAATAAACTTAACTCGGAGTTAACGCGCGCAAAAGAGCAGCTTGTACGGCTTAAAGCAGAGCTGACCATGTCAAACATGCAAACACGAAATCTTGGGACGCAGCTCTCGTCACTGCGCGAAGATAGCACGAAGCTGGAGGCCGAACTGTCGACGGTGCGAGGTTTTCCGAAGAATTCCGGACAACGAAGAAATTCGTTCAGCTGTTACGACGAAACTGTCCGACTGGAGATCGAGTTGGCAGAAGCAAAGGAAAAGATAATCGACTTGCAGGAGAAATTGTTGAGCATTTATAAAGAGAAGTTTGCTCTTGAGGAAAAAATAATGAGCTTAGAGGGACAAAGAAACATGGATGCACAGAATAGTGAAAAGCTTTGTTCGACAAACCCTGACCGCGAACTAGATTCTGATTTGGAACAAACGAAAGAGCTGGAATTAAAGATCGATTTATTGGAGGCTGAGAGAGCACAGCTTAAAAAAGATCTCGAAAACACGAACGCTGATAGAAGTCGATTGGAAGGAATCGAACTCTGTGTACAACAGTTAGTCTCGCTTGAAGATGAACAGCTAAGATTGAAGAGTAGATTGAAAAAATGGGCTCAAAATGCGTCCGATGAACAATGCATGAACGAGGCAATAAGCACAAATAAAATAGTGGAGAACAGTTATTTAAACGAGCTTAGAGAGTTGTCGGCAGAAAATTGCTCCCTTCAAGTCGAAGCAAACGCTTTGAAGGAGACGATTGCCGAACTGGAAGGTGATTTAGCGGCTTTAAAATTAAAGGTATCTATAAAAGATACAACGCAAGAGGCAACGGCAGACAAGAAAGCGGTCGCTACTCTTCTTGTTGCAGTAAAACAGGAAAAGGCCGAGCTACAAGAGGCTTTGAATGACGTGCTAATCGGAAAAGAAGATTTGGAGGAACAGCTGTCGGAAATTAAGTTGAAATACACAAGATTACAGCGAGAATTTGCCATGATAAGCATTATTAAGGACGATTTAGAGCTTGAGGTTCTCTCTCTGAAAAGGGCGAATTTAACACGAGGACTGTCCAATCTTACACAAAGTAGCGAAGAATGCAGAAGTGAAATGTCGGATTGCTGCGCCGATGACCTGATGGTTTTGGACGTCAACGGAATTGATATTTCGACGGGGAAAAAGATTGTATCGCCAGGGGGCGGAAAAAAGAAGGCCAATGGAGTGAGCGATCGAAAAACAGCAGTTACCTCAAGAAACCATAGAGAGAGCCAGTCGGCTTCATCGAGTGGAACTACGAAATCGTCTTCAAAGCCAAAAGCGGTGAGTATTATGAAATTATTTATTAATTTGACAAATTAATGTGTCAGTAGTTCAACTGTGCTGTGATTGGTCTATAAACGTCGGCACACAATTTATACGGAATGGAAATTAGCAACCTAATCGATTTTCATATCATCCGCGTGGTCAAACAAGCTGGGAGTACAAAACAGTTCAGAATTTTTTCTCGCCTGTCAAGCGCGCGGAAAACCTAGCACGGCTTCGACGGTTTGAGCAGGTTCAATGTTGAACCAGCCAAACTGAACGAACTTGCCAGAACTAACAAAAACACACTCAGGGGATAGACAGGGCAGGAAAACGTCTATTTCTAAGCATAGGAACGCGGAAAACCACGATTGGGCTTTGATACAGAAAATTCAAATTCGTTTCTGGTTTTAAATGAGTTTTAACGGTCGAGAAAATGTACGGAAGGATGCGACCTTCATACTAGTCGCTGCACGAAAGTATATATTAATAATATAGTGTTAAAGCTGACTTACGCATCGAGTTTGAGTAATTTTCTCTGTCCCAGAACGAAAAGAAAACGCCACTACAAGGAAGAAACAGTGGGCAAAGATTACAATCAACGCCAAAGAAAGTATCTGGACGACGTAAGTTATAGTAAAGACATGTTTATACCATGTTTTCTTGTTAAAATACTTAAAACTCAATGAAACCTATAATAAATGGAACACAGGGTCATCGATCAATGACAACTATCTTTATAAAAAAAGAATTGGTAATAAGTGATTTCTGATTAAGCCAAAAGAGAGTTCCCCTAAGCTACAGTCATTCTGGTTTAGGACTTTATTAAACCTTTACTAAACCTATTAGACTTTATTCAAGGGCGTAGCTAGGGAGGTCCTGGAATGCCCGTGACCCCCCCTTTTTGTAAGCCTTTCTTTAAAGAAACAATCTATAACAGGTGGCAAACACATGACAATCTGGTGAGTACCCTCACTTTGACACAGTGACCCCCCTTTGAAAAATCCTGGCTACGCCCCTGCAAAAATAAACCAATGGAACATTGTGTTTTAGCTTGATGTGATATCTGATTTCTTTTGTTTTGTTCAGGATCTCTTCCGTCCAGTCCCAGCAGAGAGGCACTGGGCGCCAACAAGGCCAGGTAATCCAAACAAACAGGCCACTTTTCGTTGTACAAAAGACCGCAGACCAAACGCGCTGTAAGTTTCGTTGGATAGCGCTGGCATCGATAGAACAAGACCACAGATAACAAGTAGGGCGGAAAAAGACAAGTAAAGTCGTCAATATTGCGAGAAGACAAAAGCAGACTGAACAAAGCTGAGAGTGGCTTTTAGTAGATTGTCTTAATTTTAGATGACTTGATGGTGTAAGCCCCCCCCCCCAAAAAGCAAAAACAAAAACAAAAACAAAACAAAACAAAACAAAACAAAACAAAAACAAAAACAAGTAAAGTGTAAGCAATCAACACATATGTACTTATTGTCATTTTGTGGTCATACCAAACAAGACATGTACTTAACAGGCAAAAGCAGTTCATATGTACTGACTTGCACTGATTACACCGACAGGTATATCACAGGTGACGACCAATCACCGACCGACAATCCACAACACCCTGCAATATCATACGACCTAATAAGGATCGATGACGTAAGTGACGAGGCACTGCATGCAGACAGTGACTGCAATAATAGCGGGCTCTTGCGACAAACTCCCACGGGGGAGAGAGAAAACCCCGAGGGTATGGAACATGACGCCACCAGTGCATGCTTTGATAAGGATGATAAACCTGCACATGTTGATACAGAGGACAACACTGAGAGTTTAGTGGACGACTCTGTTGAATTTGACGATCATTGGAGCTCAAATGGGGGTATTTCCGAGACAGATTCTTCCCTTACTCAACCGGCAGAAGTGCTTGTCAAGACCACTTGGTCTCTTAAAAACATTTTCAGGCGACAAAGGTCGCTACCTCCTCCTGATCATAAACTTGGAGCTCTTAAACAGTAGTTGGCGGGAGAGAAAAACCAATTATCAGCCTGGAGTTGACAAAGGCAAATTGCTTTCCAATAATGAGTTTATAAGTAGGGAGATCACAGTACGTATAAATACTAAAAAATTCAAAAGATTTCACAGAAATCAAGGGAAAAACCCGAGGATTACACAAAATCGTTTTTGCAGTTTAAATCCGTATAGAATATAACGTAAAACCTAAATGTAATCGTTAATAATCACAAGCATCACTAGAAAATAAATAAGTACATGAGACATGTAAGCAAAGGTTTCATTACGATTTTGAGCTAAAAGGCAATCAGTCAATTTTTGTTTTTTTGAGCACAACGTTTTTAAATATAAAAAAACCCAGGCGGAAAAAATCGTTCTCAAAGACGGTCAATTTCCTCAATGCCTTGCATGCCCTTAGTGTAACCTCTGCTTTGATGTTGCACCTTGATTCACCCCGTTTTCGTAAATAATTAAGTTTTAAAGCCCTGAAAGGTTTTGAAACAACAAGAGGTTGTTTTAATTCATACCTGGTAATTGTACAGTATTTTTTCTGATGTTAAGTGTTTGTAAATTAGCAAGATCAATAAAGAACAAGAATTAAGTCTGTTGTTTCCACAAAATAATATGGGAACACTCATTGTCTTATGCGCTAATTCGACACAACCCGTTTTGATTCGACATCGTTTTGTTAAAACATTGGAACAGTTTACAACCCTAATGGAACACACTGGATGATCTCCGGGTTAGTGTTTAAGCACGCAGAACAGTCTTGCATTATGCAACATGTTAGTTCATTTGATCACCACATAGCACAACAAACCCCAAAATGCTGATTTGATTTTACTCTCAACACACAATTACATAATATATGTGAGTCACTACAAAACTAGATTGGTCATCAGTTGGGTTCCATATAGAACTAGTTTTGTGCAGCTACATTCGCATATATCTGATCATAGTTTTTTTTTAAATGTGTGTTGAAAATGAGTTCTTTCCTACCCATGGCCAAGATGCAGTTACTTTCTTGGCTTTGACAAGCACAATTTTCGCAGGAATGTAAAAATTCTTAACAATTTCACTCATAACCATTGCATTACCCAAGACATGAATACACTGCTAGTAAGGTTAGAAGTGTGTTAACAATAGCGGCCTAACATCTTGTTCAATAATTTCAGCTGCTGGTTGTTACATAACCGTGGCTGCCTCAGTTTGCGACTTTTTCTGGGTCCTTTTTTCATCATGTTGTGATTTTTTCCTGGTGGCCAATATTTCAGCTGTCCATTTCCTGTTCTGAAAAACCTCTTTGCAACAGCCTTGACAGTTTTTGGTTTACCATGTTTATTGCGGGAATTGACAGATCTTGTGGGTATAACTAAACCACAGGGACTCTGAATCGGTCCTGCTTGCTTCACAGAATTTGAAACAGAATCAAAACTGTAAATACTTCTAGTGACTCCAAGATGTCTTTGCAGAATCTTTATCCTTTGCACGCCAGTTTTCCGTTCATTTGCCTGTATGTTGCATGTGGAAAACATTGATGTCTGAGACTTCACGACACTAGTTAACCTTGCGATCTTGGTGAATTCCAAAGCTAAATAGAGACAAAATCGATATTATAAGAACTAGAACTTCACAATGGCTTTCAAACTACTTAGATATCTCCCAGGACAAAATGGCAAAACCAGAATTACAGAATTCTGGCTATGCTACTTTCCTGGGTGTGGGAGGTGTGGTGGCCTCATGGTTAGTGAGCTCGACTCTGGAGCAAGCAGTCCGGGTTTGAGCCCTGGCCAGGGACATTGTGTTGTGTTCTTGGGCAAGACACATTACTCTCACCCTGTAATGGACTAGAACTCCATCCAGGGGGAGTAGAAATACTCCTAGTTACTTCATGCTACAAAAACCGGGCAAAGCTCTGGCCTGATGGGCCACTTGGCTTGTGTGCAGACTTAACCTACATGTACTTGCCTGAGTGCAACAAATTACAATGTGAAATGACTTTGTATTGAAACAACCTACAACCTAAATATATTTATAACACAATTTATTATATGGCTGTGTCTCACAAGGACTGGGAACTACAGAATTCACAAATTTGATTGGCTGAAATCAATATTGAAAGTGGTCTAGATTTTCCCATCTAGACTGGCATCCAGACTGGTAATGTTTTGCAGTGAAAAAGTTGCAAACTAAAATGCAAAATCATTGACTATTTTTTTCTAATAATATTTATTTATGGAAGTGCCAAAAAGCCTGACAAGAAAAAAAAAGTAAAGAGGACGAGCAAACTTTGGCAGAATTAAATTCAGCTCATCTCTCATAAATTATTCATAGACTGGCCACTTTCCTGGTAAATTGTACCCTACTCTACCTATTCTGAAATTAATTTTTTCATTTGTTAATATGTTTCAACAAGAGACTATAATATCACAATCTTTTGGTCGCAATCATGTCTTCCTCTTTTTGTATTTTTGCTGATTTTCCCTATTCTAGACCAATGTACCCTATTCTAGACTATTATTATTATTATTGATTTCTATACCCTTTCTCAGAATAAACTGCCTGAAAACCATACTCTTCACAGCAGCATGTACCCACAGAGTTTACATATGGGAGTACTGGGAGCAGTCAGCATTAGAATGTTGTTAAAAATACAAAATGAGGAAGACATGATTGCAACAAAGAGATTATGATATCATGGTCTCTTGTTGAGAAATATCAACAACAAATGAAGAAATAAATTTCAAAGGGATGATAATTCAGTAATACTTCAAGGACACTAAATTTCACCTTTTTATTCCAGTTAAGAGCCTCTGCCTGAGAGACTGTGGCAGACTTAGAAATGAGGGTCGGCCAATTTTCCTAAAATTCCACCCACAAAGTCCTTATGCAGACTTCTGGAAAATGCCAAAATTCACCCGAGTTCTAGATATCAGTGTCCTGAGGATCCTGTGAGGTTAATTTTAACCCAAATTTTGGAAGATTTTCATTAACTCCCTCACAGACACAAAAGTCAGGTGAGGTTAATTTTCGACCAAAATTTGGGCACTCTTCAACAACTCCCTCACATAATAAGAAATAATTCCAAACAAAACAAAAGTCACCTACATAAAGCCCAATGATTAAGCATTTATAGGTTGAGATATATACTCATAAGAATATTTCTCTTACATGTACTGTTAATCTGAATGTAGGCCTCTGAACTTTCAGGCCTATTATTTTGGATACCCAAATAATTTATCACAAAATTTTAACATCCCAACCTGTAAAGTTTAACCCTTAAAGGAGCTATGTCACGGTTTGTGCATGTTGAAGAGTTTAGCTTAAACTTTTCAAGTTCGTTGTTTGTAATCTCCATCCTTACGGTTACACAATACATGTACCTTAGCGGGTGTCCTTCAGAAAAAAATTGTAGCTGCATTGTTTTTAAGGAAACTACCAATAACTATACAGCATTAGAAAGGTCATGAAGTGTAGAATTCGGAAAAAAATATCCACTGTTTCGGTCGTGCCTTTGTTAAGAAGAAAGAAGCTGAGAAACGGAAAACAACCAATTGTCAATCCACCAAATTAATCCGGTATCAAGTGCCAGCAGTGATGTTTAAATACTGCACAGTGTTAATTCAGCAAGTATCAGTCTCTCAAAGTGCGTCAGGGTTTTCATGTATCCTTATTGGTTATCTTTTAAATACAGATCTGTAAAGTTATAACATCGAATAATTTGTTGACCCTCTTGCGTTTGTGGCCGTCACGAGAAAACTATTCATACTATAAAAAATCCCTGACACACTTTTGATCCTCATGTTCTAGCCAAATGAAAATCTGCCAATTCTACATACCCTATTAATTCATTAAAAGAGATGGTATTCTTGCGAAAAACTGTTGCAAGCTATCGCTGTTTAAAGAGTTGTAAACATGTCATGCCTTTAGTTGGACACATGCCAACAGAATATGCTGCCAGCCAATGAAATCATGGCACCCCTAGCATTCACAATGAGTGATTATGTCTTTTGTGGGAATTCCAGAGCAATAATAGTGTAACATTCATGTTCTCCTTGTTGAACTTCAGTGTGCGTTTTCAGAGCAGTCTTCACTGCTCATGAGAAATGGGTAAAACAGAGAGAAATAAGCAGGGTAAGAGAATGGGTACCAGTATGCACAATCCCTTGCCATTGTTGGCCAAAGTTTTCTTGTCTTCAAGAAATTCCACTTTTGCCTTCTTCTTAGGGCCTGGCTGCAATATTTTCACTGTCTAAGGACTTTTCTCTTCCTTTTTAGCATGTTTCATGACCTCAATAAAAAGTGATAGGTACCACAAAAGAGTGAATTAATTCGAGAACACCACTGCGAAATAGTGTGTACCTAGAAATGCTAATGAGGCCCTTGTAATAAGAGCTAACGGAGGAACCTGTTTCATGCAAAATGTTGATACACTATGAGGATTATGACACCTGACTGTTTTATTAACTTTTACTAAAAAACGTTTTTTTCTAAAATATAAGTTGTGCACGTTTAAGATTTTACTTTCATTTCTTGCAAAATGTTAGATTTTATAGTGACCCTTTTGTTTTACTTAAAAAGAAAAATTTGACAAAAGTAGCATTTTTTTAAGGTTGCTCGTTGCTCGCAAGCAGTGTATTGATATGGTTTCTTGTTTGTATGTCGTCTTGCATGATCTCTGAGGCCTGTTCTTCTTTGTTACATGATTAAGTCACTTCACTGAGATTTGAGAAGGAGAGTGATGTTATAGTTTGGTATTCTGAACTATACCTTTCCATGCTATTCTTATGATTTGAAAGTGACAGTTTGATATCTCAATTTACCACTTTTTCAGGTTAATCATTATGATAGTGACAATTACAGAATTTCCAAGAGAAAATTATTGAGCAACTATCACGATAATCTCATACAGTATGATATTTGACATGTACATTGTGATAAAAATGATTTCTCGATATTATCACTCTATTGTGTCCAAAATATTGTTAAAATATCATAATATTCATTATCAAACTAATGATAATTTCTATCAAGATATTTTGATAAACTGCAATCCTGCAGCTTAGTGTGGGAAGAGAACCCTGGGGAAAATAATTGTCTTGAGTCCCAGTGAAGGCTTCATTTTATTATCATCATCATTATTTTTATCATCTTTGAGCGATCCACAGTTCCATGTTTAATCGCCATTGAATAAATTAGTCAGGGATCGTTTTTGGGGCAGACACGAAGAAAAAATTAGGATCATTTTGGGGTCGGGATCACTTCGGAAGCAGTACAGCACCTCCCAGCATTTTCTACTCCTTTTGCCATCTCAAAAAGACATTTCTGGTTTAAGGATTCCGGACCTTGGTTTCCAGAATTCCGGGTTTCCAAGTTTCCGGCATTCCCGCTTTTACAGTTTTAGGAGAACCCAACAGAAATCTTGCACATTGACATGAACTGTTTCACGCAGCACTTTTAGAGAAAACGGAAGGAATACTATTCAAACGTTATTATCCTACCTTTTGGTCTCAATGCTGTGGAAACTGTCCGTACAGAAGAGTGAACATTACAAGTAAAGAACCTTCTTGAAACAGAAAACATGGCCGCCACTGCCGCCATATCAAGGATGCGGTCAGCGGATTGCAGCCACTGACCATGAACTGTGGATCCAAGTCACGTGATGCATTTCGGCGGGAACTGGGAAAAATAAAGACCTCCTAGAGAAAAGTTGAAGGAGTTGTTGATTTCTCAGGATTATTGTTATTCCAAACTCGTAAGTATAGTAGCTTAGTTATGAGTGTTCTTATGTCTGTTTATATAAAACAGGATCAGAGCCACCGATTGACTGAGGACTGAACTTCAGAATACCCGGCCACTTATATGTGTTTTCAAATGCTGCTACCGCGGTCCCACAGTCGTGACAATTAACATAATAATTGTATATAAAATCCACGAATATACCTCGTTCTTTCGTCCACTGCGGGACCGCGGACCGCGGTAGCACTTCACGTTAACACTTAGTTCATTTCTTGTTCATCGACTGCAGGACTGCGGACCGCGGTAGCACTTCACTTTAACACTTAGTTCATTTCTTGTTCATCGACTAAAGGACTGCGGACCACGGACCACGGGAGCAGTAGATTTAAGGAGGGCGTGTGTGGCCGGGTATTCCGAAGTTCCTTGATTTCGAGTAGTTAAATTAGTCATTTCATGTTCAGTTATTAAAACCTTTCCGGGTATTCATGTATAATTATGAACAGCGCACTAGTGAATGAAGCCCGGCATAGCCAGACGAATCCAATCGAACTGAATTTCAATCCATGGATCGAGTTCGATCGAAATCGATTAAAATCCAACTCACACAAAAATAACTGGACAGTCGAAGTCAATCGAACGTTTGATTTCCGAACTCTTGATTTTTGTAAAACTGTGGTTGAAATCAGTAACAAG